AATAAATCAAAAATCAGCCGGGTGTGGTAGTACGTGCCTGTGGTTCCGGCTACTTGGAAGGCTGAGGCGGAAGGATTGCAGGAGCCCAGCAGGTCGAGGCTGCCGTGGCCGGGAGCGGCAGACTGGTCTGGGTGATGGAGTAAGACTCCAACTAAAAAAATAAAAATAAAAAAATACATTCACTGGCCGGGCTTGGTGGCTCAGCCTGTAATCCCAGCACTTTGGCAGGCTGAGGCGTGTGGATTACCTGGGCCTGTGGTTTAGAGACCCGCCCGGGCAACTTGGCGAGACCTCGTCTCTACAATAAATAAAAAATTAACCGGGCATGGTGGCGTGCGCCTGTAGTTCTGGCTACTTGGAAGACTGAGGCAGAAGGATTGCTGGAGTCCAGCAGGGTGAGGCTGCAGTGCACTCCAGTCTGAGTGATGGAGTGAGACTCCAACTCAAAAAAAAAAAAATACATTCACTAATTCCAGAATTTCATCACCCCCAAAAGAAACTGCCCATTGAGCCATCACTCCTCATTCTCCCTTCTCCCTTGGTAATCATTAATTTACTTTCTGTCGCTATAGATTTGTCTAGTTTGGAAATGTGATATAAATTGAATCATATAATATGTGGCCTTTCATGACTGGTTTTGTCCACTTAGCATAATGTGTTCAAGGTTCATCCATGTTCTAGCATGTATGTATCAGTATTTCACAGCTTTTTTTTTTTTTTTTGAGTAGGAGTCTCTCACCCTGTACCCAGGGTAGAGTGGAGTGGCACGTTCCCAGCCACCACAGCCTCAACCTGCTGGGCTCAAGTAATCCATCCACCTCAGCCTTTCAAGTAGCTGGAACTACAGGCATGTGCCACCATGCCCGACTAATTTTTTTTAAATTTATTGTAGAGACGAGATCTCGCCAAGTTGCCCAGACGGGTTCTGAACCCGTGGAGACAGGCAATTCCCTCACCTCGACCTCCAAAGTGCTGAGATTATAGGAATGAGCCACCACACCCAGCCCTTTCTTTCGTTCTTTCTTTCTTTTTTTTTTAAGTGAGAAAGCAGCATTTATTGAGAGAACAGAAAAGTTCCCACAGTGGGAGGGGACCCAAAAGGGTTGCCTGGCCCTTTCAATTTTTTTTTTTTTTTTTTTGAGTTAGAGTCTCACTCTGTTCCCTAGACTGGAGTGCAGTGGCCGCTCCTGGCCACCACAGCCTCGACCTGGTGGGCTCCGGTGATCCTTCCGCCTCAGCCTTCCGAGTAGCCGGAATTACAGGCATGCGCTACCACGCCTGGCTGATTTTTGATTTATTGTAGAGATGAGGTCTCGCCAAGTTTCCCAGGCTGGTCTCGAACCTGTGGGCTCAGGCAATCCACTCACCTCAGCCTCCCAAGGCGCAGGATTACAGGCTGAGCCACTGAGCCAGCTCTGGCCCTTTCTTTTTTAAGAGACAGTATCTTACCTAGGTTGCAGTGCAGTGGCAGGATCATAGTTCACTGTAACCTCAAACTCCTGGGCTCAAGTGATCCCCTCCACCTCAGCCTTGCAAGGTGCTGGGATTACAGGCATGTATCACCATGCCTGGCTACTTCATTGCTTTTTAGGTCAAATAACTTTCCACTATATGGATATACCACATTGTCTTTATCCATCCATCAGTTGGTGGACATTTGAGTTTTTCCCACTTTTTAGCTATTTTGAATAGTGCTGCTATGAACATTTTATGTACAAGTTTTTGCTTGAACACCTGTTTCAATTCTTTTGGGTATATACCTAGGAGTGGAATTGTCAGGTCATAGGGCAATTCTGTTTCATTTATGGAGGAACTGGACTATTTTCCACAGTGGTTGCACCATTTTACCTCCCACCCCAATGGTGTATGAGGGGAACAAAAAGAAAAAACCCCGAAATTTATTTATAAAAAAATTGTGTAATTATTCTTACATGTTTAAACTTCAGGCCGGGCGCAGTGGCTCATGCCTGTGATCCCAGCACTTTGGGAGGTGGAGGTGAGGGAATTGCCTGAGTCCAAGGGTTTGAGTCAAGCCTGGGCAACTTGGCAAGACCTCATCCCTACAATAAATCAAAAATTAGCGGGGCATGGTGGCCTGGGCCTGTAGTTCTAGCTACTTGGAAGACAGAGGTGGAAGGATTGTCCGAGCTCAGCAGGTCGAGGCTGCAGTGACCACGAGTGTGCCACTGCATTCCAACTTGGGCGACAAAGTGAGACTCCGACTCAAAACAAACAAACAAATAAAACTCCAGTCATCTTCAGAGTATTCCCTGTTTGATGCAATACACCTATCAAGACACTTTTTCCACTGCTCAAAACAGTTTCTAAACTTGTCAATTTTGATGCCTTTTAGCGCTTCTGCTGTTTTTTGTTTCACCTCTTCCACATCGGCAAAATGTTTTCTTTGAGGAATTTTTTCATCCAGGAAAACCCAAAAAAGTCACTTGGGGTGAGTTGGTCTTGGGTGCACAGGGAGGGTAGGGCACCGGGATAACTGCTAACACTCAGCGCAGTGTAGGCAGATGCACTCATACATAATCCATCATGAAACAGGCAAATGTGTTGAAAGAATCTCCAGGAAAAAATCCACTGAAGCGGAACGAATGTGGCCTCTCACAACAAAGCTAGCTGGTAGTTATAGAGATGGGGATCTGCTCCTGGAACACTTATCTAGTGGGGGAAGTCTGTACTACAAGCTCCCCACCTCACCAAAGATAATTCTCGTTTTATTTTGGGTTCCCCTCATATAAGGATCCAATTTCTCAACATCTTTATTAATACTTGTTATTTTTCAAGCCAGGTGTAGTGGTTCATGCCTGTAATCTCACTACTTTGGGAGACAGAGGAGAGAGGATTGCTTGAGCCCAGAGGTTCAAAACCAGCCGGCAACTTGGCAAGAACTTGTCTCTACAATAAATCAAAAAATTAGCTGGGTGTGGTGATGCTTGCCTCAGGAGGTTGAGGCGAAAGGATCATCTGAACCCAGCAGGTGGAGGCTGCGCTGGCCGTGAGCCACACACTAGCCTGGGCAACAGAGTGAGACTCTGACTCAAAAACAAAAACATACTTGTTATTTTTCTTTCTTTTTTTTATTGCAACTATTCTGGTGGATGTGAAGTGATATCTCCTTTTGGTTTTGATTTGCATTTTCCTGATGACTAATGATGTTGAGCATTGTTTATGTGCTAGTTGGCCATTTGTCTATCTTCTTTGAAAAAAAAAAAAAACAACAGTAAAACCTTTACTCATTTAAAAAATTAGCTGGGCTCGGTGGCTCAGTCTGTAATCCCTCGCTTTGGGAGGCCGAGGTGAGTGAATTGCTTGAGCCCGCGGGTTCGGGACCTGCCTGGGCAACTTGGTGAGACCTCATGTCTACAATAAATTAAAAATCAGCCAGGCGTGGTAGCGCGCACCTGTAGTTCCAGCTACTCGGAAGGCTGAGGTGGAAGGATCGCCGGAGCCCAGCAGGTCGAGGCTGTGGTGGCCGGAAGTGGCCACTGCACTCCAGTCTGGGCGACAGAGTGAGACTCCAACTCAAAAAAAAAAAAAAATTAGGTTATCCTTTTATTATTGAATCATGAGTTCTTTTTTTTTTTTTTTTTTTTGAGTTGAAGTCTCACTCCCTTGCCCAGGTTGGAGTGCAGTGCCATGATCATGGCTCACTGCAGCCTCAACCTCCCAAGCTCAGGTGATCCTTCTGCCTCAGCCTCCTGAGTAGCTGGAACTACAGGCATGTGTCACCATGTCTGTCTAATTTTAAAATTATTTTGTAGAGGCAAAGTCTCACTATGTTGCCTAGGTTGGTCTCAAACTCCTGGGCTCAGCCAATTCTCTTCTTGCCTCTGCCTCCCAAAGTGCTGGATTACAGACATGAGCCACTATGTCTGGCACAGATGTTTTTAAAAATCAGGTTTTTGGGGTCGTTCTAGAGGTCTTTCTAAGAATTATCCTACCTCCAGGCTCTTCCTTCAATCTAGATTCTTCTTTGTGCAAAGTACAGGAAAGATAAAATTTTTACCAAAGCTGGCCTTCCTTCCTCCCTTATCCAATCTGTAAAGAATTCTTCTTGCAGTCTAATCTTCATTCTTCTGCCTACCAGGCCAACCAAGTAGAACTGCCCTTCCCTGGGTCTTTTTTTTGTTGTTGTTTGAGTTGGAGTCTCATTCTGTTGCCCAGACTGGAGTACGGTGGCCACTCCTGGTCACTGCAGCCTCGACCTGCTGGGCTCCGGCGATCCTTCCGCCTCAACCTTCCAAGTAGCTGGAACTACAGGCGCGCGCTACTACGCCCGGCTGATTTTTGTGATTTATTGTAGAGATGAGGTCTCGCCAGGTTGCCCAGGCGGGTCTCGAACCCGCAGGCTCAGGCAATCCACTCACCTCAGCCTCCCAAAGCGCGGGATTACAGGCTGAGCCACCGAGCCTGGTTTCCCTGAGTCTTTCACACACTCCCTCATCTGCTCCAGCTTTCTTTCTCTCATTTTCACCCACTGATCCCCTTCCCTCATTTACAATCCAAGACTGTAGAAGCTGCAAGGGCGGTCAGATCATTTATTCAACGCCCTCACTTTACAGATACGGACACTAAGTCCCAGGGAGAAAGTCTGACTTGCCACACAGCCAGCGAGTAACTGGCAGGACCAGAATCCAGGCCATTTCTGGTTGGTTCTGCCTCAGTACAGTTTGGAGTCTTGGTGAACAGACCTGTGTGTAGACCTCAGTGCCTTCAGGCGTGGTCCCCAGACCCTTCCATTTTGCCCACCCTAGTCATGTGAAGTCTGCACACAGTGGGGGCAGGTCTTCCCCAAGGCCCCTACCCTAGCCTGACACTGGCCTCTTCCCACCATTTTGAAGACACTGCTCAATCCACAGAGGAAGTGAAACAACGAGGGAAGAGAAAGTCAGGGCAGAGTTTTGGGAGTGACAACCACAAGCTAAGTTTAGAGGACTCAGAGCTTGAGGGTCCTCCCACGTGTCCCCCTTTATATTCTATTACAGGCCATGGTGGCTTTGTCAGTCTTTGTTTTCCTGCTGGCCCTGAGCAGAGGTGAGAGAGAGTTGGACCCTGAGATCCCACCCCCAGGGGAAGCCACTGATCCTGACCTGTTCCTGCCGGGGTCCTGCCAGCCAGTCCCCTCCTGCCAGAAGTGCATCCTCTCACACCCCAGCTGTGCATGGTGCAAGCAACTGGTAAAGATGGTGCATGGCCTTGGAGCCATACGGATGTGTGTGTGTGCAGCCCCGACACATGTGTGTGATTGTGTGGGCACAGGTGGGATTTTCTGGATACACTCCTCTGTCTCATGTGTGACTGAGTTTGCGCACATAGGACTCCTGTGTATGTGCATGTCTGATGATGTCTGTGTCTGTTTATTGACATATAGATGAAGAGGATTTGTGTCCCTGGGTTAGGAGGAAGTATGTGCTTGTGGGAATTCATGCTGTGTATAGGCAGAAGGAATTATTGTGCATGCAAACATGTGAGAAGGGTATTAGCCAGTTCAGGCTGCCATAACTAAATACCACAGGTTGGTGGCTTAAGCAACGGGAATCTATTCTCATAATTTTGGAGGCTGGGAGGTCAGAGTGTTGGTTGATTTGGTTCCCTGGTTAGGCGCTATTCCTGCCTTGCAGACTGGCCGCCTGCTGGCTGTGTACTCACATGGTGGAGAGAGACAGAGACTGAGGAACAAACTCTCTGGAGTTTCTTCTTGTAAGGGCACTAATTCCATCATGAGGAGTCCACACTTCAGACCTCATTTAAGTCTAATTACCTCCCATCTCCAAATACTATCACATTGAGGGTTATGGTTTCAATATAGGATTGAGGTGGGGGTGGGGTACCGAGTTCTGTTCACATCAGAAAGTGTGTGATTGGGTTCTGAGTCTGTGTTTGGGGCTGGGTTACTATGCTCCTGGGTGTGTAATACCCTGAGACTGTGTGGGTAGGGGTAGAAGGGAAGGGCTGAAAGCTTGAAGGGGGGAAATGTGGTTGGGGAAGGGGGGGTGGGAAGATTAGGACTACCTAAGTGGCCAAGAAGGGTACTGGGAAGCAGTGTCTCCCTGGCTGGGCAAACAAGGCTGTTGCTTGTTTATGCTTTAGAGACGGGTCTCTTGTGGATGGCAGAGCAGGAGGGGTGCCCTAGGTAGGGGTAGGGGCAGAGCTGTCTCTCACAGGAAGATGGGGCGTTAGATCAGTGCAGGCACTGAGATAAGAAATGGGGGCAAACTAGCACAAGGCAGAGCTACAGATGGGGGGGGAGAAAGGCTTATGGTGAACCTGGGTGGACAGGAAGGGTAGACTGAGTCTGAGGGGGACAGAGAGGGCAGAGGTGCTAGGCTGGAACTGTGCACCTCCCGGCTGGGTCTGTGTCTGCCTCCTCCAATCTCCCGACCAGGGGCTGGCACTGGGCCAGCTGAGAAGCGGCTCTAACCATTTCCTTCCCCTGTGGCTTCCTAGCCAGTCCGGGGGTACAGACACATGGGGGGGCTGTCTCCTCTTCTGTCCCCATCCTTTCCCTTCCCAGGAACGGTAGGTCTGAGTCTGACCCCTTCCCACTTAGATCTGCGCACGCAGGGGAGGTGGGACTAGGAGGCAAGGCTCCCTCTTTTTTTATTTTTGTGGCAGGCCTCTGAGATCTCAACAGGAAGTCTGTGGCTCTAGGGGAGGGGGAGGGGAAGGGTGGGCGGCTGGGGAAAGGGGGAGTCGAGATAAGGGGAGGGGAGGGGACTGCTATAGGAAGTGGGGCTCTGACAAGGAGAGGGCCCGGAGTTCAAG